AGTCTTTATTAACAGACTTTTAAATTTAATGGTCATTCTTGAAACCCCTGGTCCTCAAAGTAGAGATGAATGCTCTCCCATTTGGCAGATATTCTCTGATAAACGACAAAAGTTAATAAATACCATGAATGCCCACTCATGGGAGATTCAACTGTATATGGCAAAATGTACATCAGAAAAATCAAACTAATTTACAGTGCTATATCTTTAAAATAAAAAATATATTCATATGAAAATGGCAACATCAAAATTCATAATGATCAGTAAACAGTACAGTCAAACTGAAAAAATGTGAAAGATAAGTTAATTTTGTTATGCAAAATTTAATGCTAAAATAAATATTCATTTTAATTAATGAATTATTATAAATACATTAATATTATTTTTTCTATATATGATGAATTTGTAATTAATTTGATTTTTATTTTCCTTGGGCCTTTCAATTCTGGTTTACTGCATATAGCACTGTTTATATATATATATTTCAATTTTGCTCTACTGTTTAATTACAAAGGCTATGCTTAAAATACAGAATTACATAAGGGAATGTTCCAACAGTGATATAATTATCATACTTTTCACAATTACATGGCCTAACAGTCATTAGCTTTGTTAATGTTTTGGAATAAGGTATAAGCTGTAGCCAATCAGGGAAGGTAAAGTTTTTACATAAATGTGCAGCTGATTCAGCATTAATCATCGACTAGAGGTCAGTACATGTTTGCTTTGCTTTAACTAGTTGCTTCTTATATATTAGGTTGGCATAAAGGTGAACAATTGGAACGTTCAGAAAAAATCCACATCTCAGTTTCCAAGATGAGTCAGTGTCTGGTTGCATAGCAAATGAAGGTCCAGCTTATACTAATAAGGAGCATTAAGCCTGCTTAATACTATAACAGTAACAAGAAGCAGACAGTTGGAACAAATAACACAATAATGGGTCCAAGGATGAATTTCATCTTATAAAATCAAAATATCTCTTTAAAATCAATAATGACATTTTAATATTACATTTCATAAATACATTCAAATGAAACTGCTATAAAAATCTTGTTGTGTTATACTGTGCCGAGTATCTCATTTATTTTCTAGTTCAGATCTATTTGATGTAAACTAGTAAAATATTAGGTAAAAAGTCCAAAAATGAAATACAGTCAGCTAGTACTGATTACATTATACTTGATTAGCATTATTTTTTAGTCCGAATCAAACTGATCAATAATTCACAAGAACTAAATTAAAAAGTGCAAATATTGTTTTAATGGGACAAAATAAATAACTATGTATGTATAAAACATAATTCTAATAAATTAATTACATAGAGATAATGTAAATTATAAAGCATAAAACTCTTGCATCTTTTTAACACAAAACTATAAATATGAACAATCAAGTCAAAATAACTAAAAGCCATTAAAATATGTGGTTATTTAAACTGCTGATCAAATGTGAATGAGAGCTTAAGGTAATTAATTATTAAAATACCCTACTTGCACTATAAGAATATGTCATAAAAGCAACAGGTAAACCTACATTAAAGTAGATTCAGTTTAATCTAAATAAATGATTATAAAAACAAATATGTTCCTCAGGACAAAAGTTTTAGTCATGTACTTATTTAGTAGCATAGTTATATAATATATTGTTTTGCACACAATACTTCGCTATTACATTATGTAACCTTGGGCACTATTTACTAAATAAATTATGAATGTTAGACGAATATGCTGTTTCATACAGCATTTGCTGTTATCTGTCTTCCATATGTTCTTGATATGTATGGACTGTATTCCCTGAAGATACTAAGGTTCCACTGCATTATAATTAATGTTAGTTATGCAGTTCATATATATAAGAATTATCTGTGTGGTTAATTTAGTTTTTAAACAGTGTAATTATACTACATAATAGGATATTTAAATTTCTTTTTCTCATTCTGCAATTTCATTTACTAAAATACATATTTTATAAGATCCTATCAACTTTTGGAACAAAAACGTAGCCAAAAAAAGGGGGTGGTTCCTATTTTCAAATAAATATAATAACTGAAATATTAGATTTACCATCATAACAGGTGACAACCATCACAACAGAGTCTAGGAAACTTGATTACCAAGTACTCAATAATCCAGAATTTGATGATCACTTGTTTAATTACTACATGATTTCTGTTGTCAAGCAAAGCATTATCTGAAATTATGTAGTAATCTATTAACAGCTACAACAAGGGTTTTCAACCAAGGAGAATTAAATAGTTTTAGGGAAGAATGCAGTCAGCCTTTTATTTACCTGTTAAGTATTTAGTTTATGAATATATATTAAAAAAAAAAAAAAACTACTCGGTTTAATCCTAGTATCTGGTGCACACGGGATTTGGCTACTTTGTGATGAGCAGTAAAAACCGGACATTGCGATGAGTAGTTAACGGGTCATTCAAAGAAAATATATAGTTAAACATAGTATATACTGTGTATATAGTATATATACTATGTATACAACATAATATATAGTGTATAGTATATATATATAGACGTTCTTTGGATCATTTTTGGTGCTGGCGATAATTTTCAAAGTCGTGCCAAGGCTGCACCGTATACTAGGATTTTACCAAACTACTCCTATCCAAGTTTTGATATTTATCACCATTTTCTATATTTATTTCCAGTTTAATTTATAAAACACATTAAAAAATAATGTAAATAAATATATATGTATTTTTCAAGCTTTGGAAATGAGGGGGGATTGACTGCCTGACAGCAATGATGAAAAGGGCACATGGATCAAAAGATTGTGAGCCACTGAGCTTGAAAATAATAATTCCTAATAATACTTATATGGTGCAAATAATATAGGCACATAGTAATTACTGTATTATAATTAGAATACAGATTTAGAAAATAAATTTCTACATGTTTTCCTGTTCTTTTCAAAGATTTGTTTTGGTGGTCTATTTTTACAATTTTTGTTCCTCTGTAATTCCAGGCTTACAAGTTTTGTGTTGTATTGTCTATGCGAAATAAGTGAAAATACTGAATGAGGAAGAAAAGACACAATGGAAATGAAACAAGAAAAAAAGAAAACAAACATCTGTGGAAATGAAATGGATTGCACATGGATAAAGGGAAAAGTATTCATAAAACTGCCATGAATTAAGATTTTAGATGAACAGCTATAATAAAAAGGAAAAAATGAGATCCAAAATGATTTTGGTGTGCTTATGTCTAGGGAAGGAAATCAACCCGAGAATATAAAAGGACAGATTTACAATCTTAGCATGCAGAAATGCAACAGGCAGCCATAAGCTCAAACTAGTGCTGTGAAGCTAATGAAAAAATCCCCTGGCATTTAAAAATGTATATATAAAAAAAATAAAAAAAAAAAAAAAAAAAAAGAGCACTAATGGGACTGACACCTTCTATGATCTATGTGTTTGATATGTGAATCAGTCAAATTTATGAATGAAGGGAGTCATTCTTTTATTTTTACTATTTACTACTCTTTTATCAGCAGTTTGCTCCTTTGCTAGAAAATTTCTAAAATCCCAATATTGCCCCCAAAAAGCACTTTTCATATGCTTTATTCCATCCTAATGTGCAATAATTATGTAATGAAGATTCATAATTATTCCATAAAACTTGACATTTTGACTGAGATGAAATTTAATAATTAAGAAAAATTTTATTTTGGATATGTAATTTTAAATAAAATGATCTATGCACTTCAAAAGAAAATATGACATGTGTCTGTCATGCACTTTTCAACAAAATGATGGCAGACTTATGCCATATTCCTTTATGAAATACATAATCTCTTGTGGAATATGAATATCTGTCCTACACTGTATTTTGCCAATTTTAAAATGAGCATACTCCCCTCCAATTCATCATTAAATATTATTCCTTAAAATAATACTAAGCTGCTATGCAGTGTCTTTTTATTAGAATGATAGTTTTATTTTGTGCAGATTTTCTAACATTTTACAGATGTAATTTTTCCATGAATATTAAACAATTTTGCAAACAGGTTTATCCAAATTATTTTTTAATTTCTGCAGTAACTACAGTCAAAAGTCGTTAATTCGAACACCCATAATCCGGAATGATCTATAATCTGGACCTCAAAGATCGCGACACATGCACATAGGCGTTTACGCATGCACGTAAGACCTTTACGGTTGCGCATATGCGTGTGCGTAATATGTTTACGCATGCACATTTAACGTAAAATGGACAGTATAAGCTAAAATTATCAAAATTATCTATTTCAGTTAATGTTGCAGATTGCGTTGTTCCTTAATTTTCAAATTGGATCCGGCTTATTACTTTTTGCAGACTGTTAGAGCAATTTTATAAAAGTAAGCTTGAACTTTTGATTATGTCAAATAGAATTTCCGATGCTGGAGCTCCCAAAGGATCTACAAAGCGAAAGTATGTTTCGATGTCCATCAAACAAAAAGTGGAACTGCTGCAAAAAATAGGATAAAGGCATGAAGAAAGAGACAGAGAGGTCAGTGAAAACGAAAAAATTTCGATTGACAAGTTAGTCGGTATTCTCGCCACAACAATTACAGGACTTAAACAGCAGAACTTTGTAACTGAACAAGAAATTATCTCTGTTTATAGAGAATTAAAGAGAAAGTATTAGCACATAAAACAAAGCAACTTAAACAACTTACATTGAAAAAAATGCTTAATAAAGTAAACAAATAAATATTAAGCTTTTTTTTGTAAATTTTGATACCCTTTAGATGATAATTGTTCTTTATTTCATAAATTAGGGTTTCTTGTTTTTAATTTTATAAGTTCTGCATGCCATCTTACCAGATTTAAACTGATGATCTATAATCCGGAATCGCCGAAGTCTCGATGAGTCCGGATTAATGACTTTTGACTGTATTAAGCTTATTTTTCATGTATAATTTTAATACTGTTTTTGATTAGAATTTATGAGAAAAATGCACAAAATAACCCACAATAAAATCAAAACCAGAAGTTTGAACCTTGGATCTACTACATTTTTATTATATATAAAAATAGTCAATTCAAGTTGAATAAAATCACCCTTCATCGACTGTCATTACCAGTAAAAAATTTTCATATTTCATATTATTTCTAAACATCTACTTCTTAATGCAGAAAATTTATGCATGTAAAATCAAATGTATAAAAACATTGCCCACTTAAATCATACTTTTAATCTAACATAACAGCATTGAACATATATATAACAATTTTCCCATGTAAATGTTAGTATAAATCTCTGAATAGAAAAAACTGTCAGTATAAATCTCAGGCTGCAAAAGTGTAGCAAATTTTATCTGCCTTTGTGATAAAATTATTATCTTACTCATAATCAATACTGAAAAGAATAATTTGATATCATATTTAAGATACATTATGCTGCATTATTAAATAATTTATACATACTTTGACTAAATTCACAAATATATATAGCAATTAATCAAATCTAATAATAACTAAAGCATAAAAAAATGTAAAGAACTCAACAGTAAATTTTAATTCTTAGGTGGTCAAGATAACGGGGGACGTATGGATTATTTTCAAACACTCAGTTCTATATAGTACTTCTTATTGATGGTAAAAAAGAAAATAATGACTACAAAGTACTAAGTGAAATCAATACGCATATCAGCAGAGTTGTACACATTTCCCTCTTTGAAAAAGTAACATAGTTTTTCCAATTTCCAGCTATTAATTTTTAAAAAATTTCACATATTCATAACATCATATTTTAGGTTTTCAGAGCACAAAAGTGCCAGAATACTTTTTTTACAAGTAGCACAATTTAAACTATTATGATGTAATATTTTATTATTTTTATGGCAAGAATTCAAATCCAGAATAAAACAGCATTATACATTATGCCTGCATTCTCATTTTTCCAGTAAACACTTCTTAAATAAGTCATGAATGCAAATTCAGTTTCTTTTTAGAAAATACACAGCATAATTGCAAATCAAAAGAAACTGCAGAGTAATGTTGGATTTAAATTTTATCTTACGAAATTGCGGACTTTTCTTTTCATCATATTTATTTCATATGATATACACAGTTTGAACTAAATCAGAAAATAAATGGTTACTGGTTTTCATTTTGAAATGAAAATCTAGCAATGAATGTTAAAGGGGCAATAAAGATTAAAATTTTATTATATATTACTTCATGAATAAAAGCAAATATCATTATTCTGAAATACATATAATATATAAAAAATGCAAAGCTGCATATTCAGAAATCATACTAATTATTTACCTTTTAAGAGAGGATATAAATTAAAATTGTGATTAATCTTGAAAAATATCCGAATTTCATTAAGTAAAAAGACGTTTCACACATCACAAAACAAGTCTGATACAAAAATTTGAGCCCCATGCATAGCACGTTACAGGCTAGTGAATATTTCTAATAATATTTTCTGTTATAATAATAATCAGTTGACAAAGTCTTTATAATAATAACCTTTCGGATGGGCTGAACTGTGGGAGCTGGCGGGGTCTTAGTTTTGTTATGGCGGCGGGCTTTGTGCTTCAAAAGTTTAGCTTTTTCTCTAAAACGCCTTTCACAAAGATCACATGCGAAAGGCTTTTCTCCCGTGTGTGTTAAATAATGTCTCTGCATGTTACATTTATCTTTAAATCCTCTCTGACAAATGTCACAAACAAATGGCTTCTCTCCTGTATGTCCAAGCATATGCCGATTCAGACGAGCTTTCTCATCGAACCCTTCTTTACAGATATGACAAGTATGCGGCTTTTCACCCGTATGAATTCTATAGTGTTTATCAAGTTCTGCTTGTGTTGTGTACGATTCTTCACACTGATCACAAACAAATGGTCTTGGCCGTTTGTGAATTTGATAATGGACATGAAGACTGTACTTTTGAGTGAACCTTTTATTGCATGTTTCACATTTAAACAATTTTTCCTTCGTATGTGTAACGAGGTGTTTACGAAGTGTACTTTTTTGAACAAATCTTTTCTGACATATATCACATACATGGTTCTTCTGCCCAGTATGAATTTGGCAATGCTTACGCAGAGTACTCTTATCTTTAAAACGCCGCCCACAAAACGAACATGTATGTGGCTTTTCCCCAGTATGCACTAAGAAATGTGTTGCAAGGCTGCTCTTTTTTGCAAAACTTTTGTTACACACCGAACAAGAATGTGGTTTTTCTCCAGTATGCATAATATAGTGCTTTTGTAATGCAACTTTAGTCATAAAACCTTTATTGCAAACATCACAGAAAAACGACTTTTCTCCAGTATGAACAAGATAATGCTTCTGAAAGTCACATTTCCTTTTAAACTGTTTAGGACATTGGTCACATGCAAATATCTGAGGAAGGCCAGGTGGTACATTTTGATCTTCTACATTAGGAGCCATAGTCTGATGGACAATATGTGTCATAGGCTGTTGGTCAATGGTAGTATAAGGCTGTTGACCAATGATTGTAAATGTTTGATGTCCAATCTGTGCTAATGTTTGGTGACCAATCTGGGTCAATGTCTGATGTCCAACATGTGCAAGTCCTTGAGGATCAACTGATATCAAAGGATGAAGACCTTGTGGTCCAATATTTAGAGCTTGGTGTACCATATGTGTGAGAGGCTGATCTATAGCAAATGCCTGTGTATTTTCTAAAAATACCTGTGGCTCTGCATGCATTAATGCTTGATCATGAGACCCACTGTTATCTGCAAAACCCATGTCACAAGGTTCTGGTTCAGGTTGTTCCACTACGGCAAGCTGCTCCATTTCTGGTTGAGGTTGTTCTGGTGGTGGCTGTTGTTGAGGCTGTGGTTCTGGTTCAGGTTGCTCTGGTACAAGTGGTTTTTCTTCTTCCTCATTCTTTTTATTTTTTTTACCCCGGCTTCTTCTTTTACCTTCCCTATCAGCAGAGTGCACAAGATAATGAGTACGAAGTGTGCTTTTTTGAGCAAATCCCTTGTTGCATATTTCACATATATGATTCTTTTCTCCAGTATGAGTAAGATAATGTTTTCTAAGAGTAATTTTTTGTACAAATCCCCTCTGACATATGTCACAAACATGAGGCTTCTGGCCAGTGTGAATCAAACTATGTTTACGCAGTGTACTCTTATCAGTAAAGCCACGATTACAAACATCACACACATGAGGTTTATCTCCAGTATGTATCAAATAGTGAGTTTGAAGACTACTTTTCTGTGTAAAACCTTTATGACACACATCACATATATGGGCCTTTTCACCTGTATGCCCAGCATAATGAGATTGTAATTCACTTTTAGATTTGCATGTTTTATGGCAAACATCACATATATGCACTTGTACAGTCTGTGGAGGAGCTTGTGGAGGCTGAGGTGGTGCTTGAACCTCTCTATATATTTGATGTTGCTGAAGGTCTTCCGTGCGATATATTTGATGCTGCTGAAGATCTTCTTCCCGATATATCTGAGTATGCTGAGGAATAATATGTTCAGCATATATTTGCTGCTGAACTCCAGGATCTCTATACATTTGATGTTGCTGTATAACAGGTTCAGCATACATCTGATGATGTTGCTGCAAACCCCTATTTCCAAGATCCTGGTAAGTAACATCTACACTTTGAGGGGCATAAGTTTGATGTATATAAAGTGCCATATTCGTTTATTATGTATTTCTGCTATAAAATAAAAAAATAAATTATCCTCCTATATCTCTCAATATATTTACCCAATAACAATATAATTTCACCAAAACATGGAAAACAGATTCTCTTCATTCAGAAATACGTATTTACCTACATAGAAGTTGAAACTAGATGTTCCACCTGCCGATTAAATTTAAGAAAAATACTTAGCCTTTTTTTTTTTTCCGTTTCTTAGCCGATGTCACTCTGACGCTAAGACAACCAGACATAAAAACAACAGCACAGAAATCTTCTTCCGATCTTAAAGATACGCGATTATAATCTTAATTTCCTAAGGTATATTATGCAAAGAAAAATTGCACATCTAATTAATTTGAACTATTGTAAATTTTAGTATTTTTCGTTTTCTCGACCATCATTTATAACTAACAAAAGTCAGTACTACAAACAACACTGTTGCCATTTTTAGAATGTTGATATAAAATCTTTGAAAAATATGACTAGAGAAAATAAACAAAATTAAAGCAGCACATTAACAAAATTCTGATAAAAAGAAACAAAAACTTTTTTTTTTAATTTTAAGTAACCTCTTAATAGCTCAAACAATCTTCCAGATACTGAGTAAAATTTAATAGTGTCATCCTTCAAGGATGCATGTCTACATTTAAAAATCTTTTGTAGATTAATTTCTGAAACTTATAGAATGCATTGTAAATATTTCCTTATCCGAAAACATTCGTGTTGAAACAGAAATCATTCGAGTTGATGTATTAGAATTGAAGAACTTTACTTAAATGCAGGAGCTGGTAGCGGCTAAAACCCGGCGGGAACTGAAGAAATTTAACCAATCAGAGAGGACCGTTGCGCCAAGAACTTTTCGCATCATTTCCCTTTCGCCAAACGCAATTTCGGGGCAAAACTGGTATACCAGAAAGCGCTTCTTAATTTTATGGTAACTTGTTCGTTCTTCTTTCGCAGAAGTTTTTCATTTGTTTCGCTTATTATTTTGCGGCAGCTGATGTGATCTAATATTTAATTTACTGTAGAGGCGATAAGTAATGTACAATATTTAGCGATGTTTCCGCAACCGGCACTTCGAAAAATTTGGAATTTGTTTACATCACAAGAGAGCGTATGTGCGCCAGAATATGGTAACCCTGACAAGTGTTGCAACCTACACATATTTACAGTCAACAGTCGTTAATCCGTACTCGTCGGGACTTCGGCGATTCCGGATTATCGATTTTTCCGGATTATAGATCATCAGTTTAAATCTCGTAAGATGGCATGCAGAAATTCTAAAATTAGAAATATGAAACCGTAATTTATGAAATAAAGAACAATTATGATCTAAAGGGTATCAAAATTTACAAAAAGAAAAAGCTTAATATTTATTTGTTTACTTTATTTTATTGTTTTTTTATTTTATTTTATTGTTTTTTTCAATGTAAGTTGTTTAAGTTGCTTCGTTTCATGTGATAATACTTTCTCTTTAATTCTATAAACAGACATAATTTCTTGTTCAGTTAAAAAGTTCCGCTGTTCAAGTCCCGTAATTGCTGTGCCGAGAATACCAATCGAATTTTTGTCAATCGAAATTTTTTCGTTTTCACTAACCTCTCTGTCACCTTCTTCATGACTTTATCCATTTTTTGCAGCAATTCCACTTTTTGTTTGATGGACATCGAAACATACTTTCGTTTTGTAGATCCTTGGGGAGCTCCAGCATCGGAAATTCTATTTGACATAATCAAAAGTTCAAGTTTACTTTTATAAAATTGCTCTTACAGTCTGCAAAAAATAATAAGCCGGATCCAACTCGAAGATTAAGGAACAACGCAAACATCAACATTAAATGAAATAGATAATTAGATAATTTTAGCTTATACCGTCCGTTATACATAAAACGCGCACGCGAAAACGTATTCTGCGCTTGCGCACAAGCATATGCGCAGTCGTAAAGGTCTTACGCGCACGCGTAAACGCCTATGCGCAAGTGTCAACGCGGCGCATGCGCAGAAATTTTTTAGCTTTGAGGTCCGGATTATAGATCATTCCGGATTATGGGTGTCCGAATTAACGACTTTTGACTGTATTGTGATTAATTTCAATTTCAATTTCAATTTCTAAAACAAATACAACTATGAATTCTACTCAACCTGGTATCTCGATACCGAATAACTTTTTGATGTTCTAATATCCTTTTAAATAAAGAAATAATTGGTAAACATTACTGTATTGTAAAATTTCTTGGCTCTTTGTGCATTTGAAAATATTTGGTGATATTTAGGTTTTTTATTATTTCATGTATTATATGTACATAAAATTCAATGAAGAAAAATATTTTTTAAGAATGTGTTTTAAGAATTTTTTTAATTTTTTTTTTAAATTCCCTGATCTTAGAAATCTCTCTTTTTTGTAGGCAAAACTATATTAACAAAAGCACCTACTGAAATATATTAAGTAGAGTGATTATTCAGAGAATTTACATATTATAATGGTGTAGGATAGCTCATAAAATTTCAGCTGACCCAGTAACTTCCAAAAGTAAAAAATAATTGAGAAATCAACATGAAATGTTTTATGCATTATTCTGTATCTAAATAATTTTATTTCATTTCATTGTGTTACATTAAAATAAAGATGTAATTTTTTAAGTCTTGCAAAAATGCAGAATTAGCACAATCAAGCAAGTTTTATTCGTGATAAATCTGTGGATAATTTTACACTGTATGTACATTATTTTCTTTTATTGTCAGGACTTTTCTGAATAATATGCCTTAATTTATCATCTTAAGTAGTCTTCAGAGTTTGTAATTATACATATTTGGAAATCAGAGAATATTTAATCTGCAATTTTAATTTCATTTACTTATGATTGCTGTAAATGGTTATGATTTCGGATGTCAAGTAGTAATCCCTAGCAGAAATTCTAAACAAATATTCTTGAAATTCCATGCATTTTCCTTTTCTGTATAAATAAAATATTCCAATAACACCTACCACCATTGGATGACTAATTTTTATTCTGTAAGCAGGAAGAAATTTTATACTATAGCTTACACATCTACTGCCTATGTTCCTATAATTTGCTATTATTTCTGATTGTGGAAATGTGGTGAATTTTCATAATTCTGTAGTTTTTCAGTAAATAAGAAAAACTAAATTTGTTGTTTTTTGATAAATAAATTTTTTGTCCTCTTGAACCAGAACATGCATAAAAATATTTCTGTTCATAATGTGTGTATGTGTGTATTTAATTATGGCAAAGCGCACTAGGGCTATCTGCCTAATGGGAGGGATGCCTTCGTGGAGGACGTTCTAAGGGAAACTGGCTCGTATACACGTTACACATGGGGAAAACCACGAAAACACCCATGCAGCCAGCCCGTTCGCGGGATTCGAACCTCGGACCGAACTACCAAATTTCTGTTGATAAGAAATCCCCCCGAGTTCTGTACCGATGGTAGTAAATGAGAATGTTTTCTTATTTGCTTAACTTATTTTTTGTAAATCATGAAAACAGTATGAAAACAGTTGGGAATTTCATTATGCAGTTTTCATGCTAAAGCCACCTCGATGAAAAACGCCAAAATAATTTATTTTTATTTCATGCTTTAATGTAAAATTTAATGTTTGTTCAAGTATGGCTACAACGTGTAAGACGTGTTTTTCCTGGGATTAATAAGCAACCAGAAAGAACACAGGGTTTGCAATTTCGAGATAAATTTAACAAAGGACACATGCAAACTTCCACTGAAGATATCATAATGTACTTTTTTGTACCTCAATTAATGTTACAATAACCTAATATTACTACTAGTACTAACAATAGGCTAAAGAGATTTTACTTATACAGTCAAAAGTCGTTAATCCGGACTCGTCGGGACTTCGGCGATTCCTGATAATCGGTTTTTCTGGATTATAGATCATCAGTTTAAATCTGGTAATATGCAGAAATTATAAAATTAAAAATATGAAACCGTAATTTATGAAATAAAGAGCAATTATAATCTAATGGGTATCAAAATTTACAAAAAAAAAAAAAAAGCTTTATATTTATTTGATTACTTTATTAACACGTCTTTCAAAGCGCGCATGCGTAAAGCATACATTACGCATAGTCGAAATTAGAAAGTTGCAACCAGAAAACTATTTGATGTGTATTCGTGATATTTATAATGACGAGGAATTTGATTTAAATCATATCAAAGACGGAGTACATCGAGATGAAATACTACATTTAATAAGGAATTATAAGCCGAATAAAATAAAAACATCTGCCCTGAAGATAAGTATAGTGCTGACAGATCAACTTCCAGTTCATTGCGCGCCGCGTCCCCCCCCCCGTGCAGAGCAGCGTGAAATTGATAAACAGATTTCGGAATGGTTACAGAAACAAAGGATACGCCTTTATCCATTTTTTGGGGCGATTCCACTTTTTGTTTGAAAATACTTTCGTAGTCTTATGATACATTGCCAAAACGAAACATGCTTTCGCTTTGTAGATCCTTGACCAGCTCCAGAATTGGAAATTCTTTTTGACATAATCGAAAGTTCAAGCTTACTTTTATAAAATTGTTTTAACAGTCTTCAAAAAATAATAAGCCGGATCCAATTAGAAGATTAAGGAACAACGTATTCTGCAACATTAACTGAAATAGATAATTTTAGCTTATACCGTCCGTTATACATTAAACGCACTTGCTTAAACGTACAATGCGCATGCGCACACACCTATGCGCACGCGTAAATGTATTACGCGCATGCGTAAACGCCTATGCGCATGCGTGAACGCATTATGCGTAGAAATTTTGTAGCTTTTGAGGTCCGGATTATAGATCATTCCGGATTATGGGTGTCCGGATTAACGACTTTTGACTGTACTATGAAGTAAACAATAAAAAATTAAAGCAAACGATTTTTTAAATGCCACCACAATGCAAAAATTTAAAAAAAGCGGCGAATGATAATTCTAATTTTGATTTTATCTAAAAATATTTCAGTGTACAAAGACTTTTGTGAGATAAAATGTTTGCCATTTTTTTATTATTAATTTCTTAAAGTTTCGCTATATTTAAAAAATATTTCATGTAATTTTGTTACGAATAGGTTATAGATCTTATTATGAAAATCGCATTCAGAAAGTTTACTTTTAATTAATGGATAGAGCCCTACTTCAATGGAAATCATAAGTGTACGAACACTTTTGGGAGCCACTGTATATATATATAAAGGAAAATATATCACATTTGGTAAGTGTTTGTATATGTTACAAACTAGACAACGGAATCAAAGGAAAATGAAATGAGTTGAATAAAAACTGTTAAAATGAATAAATTAATAACTTTTATACATCCAGTTGATATTTTATAAGAAACAATACATATTTTAACAGAATTATTTAATACGTAAATATATACAATACATGTT